ACCCACTGCCAAACCGGTCATGCTGGAGGATGTTGCAGGCAGCAGAACGTTCTCCACGGCATCTCCAGACCCTGTCACGTCTGTCACATGTGCTCAGTGTGAACCTGCTTTCATCTGTGAAGAGCACATGTGGCAAATTTGCCAATCTTGGTGTTCTCTGGCAAATGCCAAATGTCCTGCACGGTGTTGGGCTGTAAGCACAACCCCCACCTGTGGACATTGGGCCCTCATACCACCCTCATGGAGTCTGTTTCTGACCATTTGATCATTCACATGCACATTTGTGGCCTGCTGGAGGTCATTTTGCAGGGCTCTGGCAGTGCTCCTCCTGTCCCTCCTTGCACAAAGGCAGAGGTAGCGGTCCTGATGCTGGGTTGTTGCCCTCCTATGGCCTCCTCCTGTCTCCTGGTAGCGCCTCCATGCTCTGGACACTACGCTGACAGACACACCAAACCTTCTTGCCACAGCTCGCATTGATTTGCTATCCTGGATGAGCTGCACTACCTGAGCCACTTGTGTGGGTTGTAAACTCCGTCTCATGCTAGTACTAGAGTGAAAGCACCGCCAGCATTCAGAAGTGACCAAACCATCAGCCAGAAAGCATAGGAACTGAGAAGTAGTCTGTGGTCACCACCTGCAGAACGACTTATTTATTGGGGGATGTCTTGCTAACTGCCTATGCTTTCCACCTGTTGTCTATTCCATTTGCACAAAAGCATGTGAAATTGATTGTCAATCAGTGTTGCTACCTAAGTGGACAGTTTGATTTCACAGAAGTGTAATTGACTTGGAGTTACATTTTGTTGTTTCGGCAGAATCTCATCTGCCATCATCAGTTTTCTGTATTGTGTTCGTCTGTGAGTCAGACTTTTAAAGCTGTTTCAGTTTTAAATTTGGGGCTAGCCTACTGCTGTGCCAGAATGTTTTTTTCTTCATCCTGATTGGTTGGGAGTCTTGGTCTGTTTTTTATTGGTCTTGGAGTTTGCTGTGTTCTGCTTGATTGGTGTTTCTAATATCTTCTGTCTGTTTTGTGGCTCTTTTTGTGTCTTGATTGGCTGGAAACATTGTTTCCTGTATTGGAGGCTTTTAGTGCAGCTTGGCTTTGGGTAAACAGACGGCTATCATTTATTAGGAAGCTAGGTTTCATCTGGGTGCCTGGTTGGGGTGTGTTTGAGCTGGAGGTATCAGGGAGGATCTGTTTGTGCCCAGGTGTTTGCCTGGCTTGTGGTGCGGAGATTCTACCAGACTGTCAATTATTTGGAAGCCTGCACTCACAAACAAAAAAATCTCCACATATAGCAGGTCTTGGCGTGTTCGCGTCTTTTCCCGTGTAAGATTGAGACTATCTTGGCAAGGTTTATATATATATAAAAATTATATTTAATATAAAAATTATATACACCCACACTTATTTAATTATAACAACACAAATGCTTAATGATAACAAAATAAAACGTTCCGGACTGGAAGCCTCCCTGCACCTGCATCTTCCAAAGAGACAGAAGAGCGTTTCAGATGCCAGGTGGAGGATTGAGAGAGCTCAGATCTGCAGCCGAGGAAAAGCTGTGGGGGTGGGGGAGGTGGCTCTTCCACCCTCACCTGGAGACAGGCAAAGAAAGGTGTCCCTGGGGGCACTTCGCTCGCTTTAGCACTTCACTGGGGGGGGGGGGGGGGGGAGAGAGAGAGAGAGAGAGTCTCTCGCATTACCAGGGGAGGAAAGGAGGTGAAACAAAACTCATTCTTTCACGGATACCTACAAAACACCAATCTACCGCGTTCCAGGAGATCTTAAAAACCACCGAACGCTCCCACTTGCAGTTCCCACGCCTCCCAGCTCAGGTCCCTGAGATGCACGCTCCCACACACGGCGGCGGTGGCAACAACAGTCCCCTCCCCCAGCGCCCGCTGTCAGCTCTCCCCATTAGTTCTCTGCTTTGAATTGCTCCCGGTTCTCTCTCTTTCCTTCCCCCTTCTCCCGCACCCATGTGCAGGCAGGAAAGGAAAGGGAGACGGAGGCGTGCACAGCTCTCAGCTCTTCCAGCCCTCGCTGCCTCTCCCAACATCGAAGCCTCAGAAACGCGGGCAAAGCCGCCGCAGAGGTTGCGCTAAGTTGCTTGCTTCTCCACTACTGCCTCCCCCTCCTCCAGCACCTCCTTCTCTGGGTAGGGCAATTCTTAACTAACCGAGGATGCTAAGGCAACTCAGGGCACTACTGCTGCGGAGGCTTTGCCTGCATCTTGGGAGAGGCAGCGAGGGCTGGAAGAGCTGAGAGCTGCGCACGGCTACACATGGGCAGGTGGGGGGAAAGGAAGGAAAGAAGGGGGGGAGCAGTTCAAAGCTAGAGAACTAATGGGGAGCGCTAACAGTGGGTGCTGGAGGTGGGGACTGTTGTTGCCGCCGTGTGTGGGAGCTGGTTGGCGCATGCATCTCAGGGACCTGACTCCGGGGTCCGAGGCGATAGAACTACGCGGCCCAGATTCATTGCTTTGGGGGGCCATTTTTTCTGCGGCCCACCAAAAATTTTCCACAGCCCACCAGTTGGCGACCGCTGCTTTGGAGAATAGCTTGATTCCCTTCTTTGCGGTAGACCCTGAGATATTGGAACACTGCTATCATGTCTCCCCTAGTCCTTCTTTTCATTAAACTAGACATACCCAATTCCAGCAACTGTTCTTTTATGTTTTAGCCTCCAGTCCAATCTTTGTTCTTCTCTACACTCTTTCTAAAGTCTCAACATCTTTTTTACATCGTTGCAACCCAAACTGGATGCATTGTTCCAAGTGTGGCCTTACTAAGACATTTTAAAGTGGTGTTAAGACTTCATGTGATCTTGATTCTATGCCTCCATTTATGCAGCCTAGAACTGTGTTGGCTTTTTTGGCAGCTGAAGCACACTGCTGGCTCATAAGAAGTGAAACATCTTCCTGAAGAAAAAAAAAACAATCCCATTTGCCTTTGAAAAAGCAGTAAAACTATGGGAAGTGTGGATCAGTTGAATTTCTACCCCCATCTCTGTTATAATGGAAGTAGTAGTACAATTCTTTATTGGGCAAGTGTGATTGGACACACAAGGAATTTGTCTTGGTGCAAATACTCTCAGTATACATAAAAGAAAAGATACATTCATCAAGAGTCAAGAATCATCAGGTACAACACTTAATAATAGTCATGGGGTACAATCATACTAGGAAACAGTCAATATAAATCATAAGGATACAAGCGACAATGTTACAGTCATACAGTCATAAGTGTGAGAGGATGGGTGATAAGGAGTAATGGGAAGATTAATAGTAATACAGGCTTTGTAAATAGTTGGGCAGTGTTGAGGAAATTATTTGTTTAGCAGAGTGATGGCATTCGGGAAAAAAACTCTTTTTTTAGAAAGACTAATCAAGCTTTGTCATGAAGAGATACATCTTTTGCTTGGGGAAACACCTGTTAAATGCCTGCCTGTTTACACTCCCCCTCCAAATCCAGATCAAGTGAAAACTGATATACTTTTCAGAAGGGAAACATTTTCATAATAGAAGTGCATTAGCCTTCTTCATATTACAGTGCCTTCACAAGCCTGCTGTTTATAATCGAAAAAGTGCAAGATCGTTTTTTGTTTTTATTTGTAATTTTTACCTCTCTGAGGCTGCCAATTATAAGGGTCTGACTCAAAAGAGTTTTCTTTTCCTAGATCGCTATATGCAAATATGAAATGATCAAAAAAGTCTAGAATGTTCAAATTTATCTGTTAATGGTAAAATTAGGTAATCACACATCCAGAAGCCCTATCCAAGCTCATGTTTATATTTCTCTTCTGCATGAATCCTTTTATGAGACATAAGGGAACTATTATGACTGAAGCTCTTTCCACACTCCACACATTTATGTGGCTTTTCCTTTGTTATGGATTCTTTTATGTGAATTAAGTTGACTACTATTAGTAAAGCCCTTTCCGCACTCCACACATCTATATGGCTTCTCCCCTGTGTGGATCTTTTTATGTTTCATAAGTGATGAATTTTCACAGAAGCTCTTTCCACACTCCACACATTTATAGGGTTTTTCCCCTGTATGGATCCTCTTATGGGAAGTGAGATGACTGCTATTAGTAAAGCCCTTCCCACACTGTTCACATTTATACGGCCTCTCCCCTGTGTGGATTCTTTTATGGCAAGTAAGCTGATTGTTGTGAATAAAGGTCTTTCCACATTCCTGGCATTTATACGGCCTCTCCCCCCGTGTGGATCCTTTTATGAACAATAAGAGGCCCATTTTCAAAGAAGCTCTTTCCACACTCCGCACATTTATATGATTTTTCCCCTGTATGAATTTTTTTATGTGAAGTAAGATGACTGCCATTGGTAAAGCTCTTTCCACACTCCTCACATTTATAAGGCCTTTCTCCTGTGTGGATCCTTTTATGGCAAGTAAGCAGATTGGTGTGAGTAAATGTTTTCCCACACTCTCTGCATTTATATGGCTTTTCCCCTGTGTGGATCCTTTTATGAACAGTTAAAAGTCCATTTCTGTAGAAGCTTTTTCCACATTCTTGGCATTTATACGGCTTCTCTCCTGTGTGGATCCTTTTATGGGAATTAAAATGACTGCGATTAGTAAAGCTCTTGCCACACTGCTCACATTTATATGGCCTCTCCCCTGTGTGGATCCTTTTATGGCATGTAAATTGATTGCTGTATATAAAGGTTTTTCCACACTCCTCACATTTATATGGTCTTTCTCCTGTGTGGGTCCTTTTATGTTTTATAAGCGATGCATTTTCACAGAAGCCCTTTCCACAGTCCATGCATTTATACGGCTTCTCCCCTGTATGGATCCTCTTATGCGAATTAAGATTACCTTTCTGAGTAAAGGTCTTTCCACACTCTGTGCACATATATGGCTTCTTCCCCGTGTGGATCCATTTATGAGAAGTAACTTGACTGCTTCTTCTGAAGCTCTTTCCACATTCCAAACATTTATAAGGCTTCTCTTCTGTCTGGATCATTTTATGAGATGTAAGGGATGCATTTTCAGAAGAAGCAGTGAAAGTTGAATTGTAATGGTTCCAACTGTCTGTGCATATATATTTTTCTTTTGGGCTTTGGATTGGAGAGTGTTCTTTTGCATCTAATTCAATCTGGAACAGTTTTACACAATTCCCAATATATTTTTTCTCCATGTCTTCTTTTCGGGCAAAAAAGCCTTGCTTTGGAGCTTCAATGGAAGATAAATGTTCTTGTTTCCAATTATTTGACTGGTTTTGCTCATGATTTTCAAGTTCCATTTGAATCGAAGGTTTCTCCATTCTGTCTCCAGCATCAATTACTTGCAGTTCTCTGGAATATTTATTCTCCTGCTCATAATTACCTGAAGAGGAAAAGAGAAATGAAAATGATTGTAAGGTTAAGGAAAAAGATCAAACTATAGGAACTTCCATCCAAAATTTTTCAAATGCCAATATCTTGGAGTTTTCCCTGCTTAAACTGGTATGGTACAGAAAAGAGAATTTCTATGTTTATGAGCCATAAATCTTTGAAAATATCTAGAACAACCTTTTTGTTCACAATTTGTCCATACTCAAATCTCTACCTAGTAACAATTCTTGGTTAAGGAAGACTCAGGAGAAATATGCAAGCAGATATTAGAAGAAAAGCTAACATTTATTAGAGGGAATCCAATTCCAGAAAAGACCTGTGAGAACTAAATCAATTTTGAAATTCATCCTTTTCTTCCAACACAAACTACTTTCCTTTTACTATTCATTTTTCTTTTTTGAAAATCATAGCTTCAGAGAAAAAACAGCTAGGGCTCTTCTATGAACAATAAAAAATATTTACAGACCCCTCATATCCCGGACATAAACTGTTTCAATTCCTACTCTCAAAACGACACTATAGAGCCCTGCACACCAGAACAACTAGACACAAGGACAGTTTAACGCTATCACTCTGCTAAACAAACAATTCCCTCAGCACTGTCCAACTATTTACAAAGTCTGCATTACTATTACTATTAATCTTCTCATCACTCCTTATCGCCCATCCCCTCTCATTTGTGACTGTATGACTGTAACTTTGTTGCTTGTATCCTTACAATTTATATCAACTGTTTCCTAGTATGATTTAATGGCTTATTGTACCCTATGACTATTATTAAGTGTTGTACCTGATGATTCTTGACTCTTGACGAGTGTATCTTTTCTTTTATGTACACTGAAAGCATTTACACCAAGACAAATTCCTTGTGTATCCAATCACACTTGGCCAATAAAGAATTCTATTCTATTCTATTCTATTCTATTCTATTCTATTCTATTCTATTCTATTCTATTCTGTTTGTAATGAAAAAT